CAACATGAACAGCAGGAGCTGAAATATTTCAGCCAAGGTCATCTGCTGATGTTATCAGTTGGTGTGTCTGCACACACTCCCTTCGTCACAGTCATGGCTGCTCCTCAGTCTTTCTCCTGCCTTTTTTTAACCTTGAAAATGTCCAGCTCTTGCTACGCGTCTCTCCTTGAGGGCCTCTCTTCGGCTCGGGTCCCGGGTTTCCTACGTCGCAAGCGGCAGGGTGCTCGCGTGCCGTTGAGTGTGGGATGTCTGTCTCGCCCTGTGGTCCGACACTGGCTTTGGGAACACACAGACGTTGGAAATCCAGGTGCCTATGACTCCAAATCTGGATTCTGTCTTTGCGCTTTGTTAGCTGGTGGACTACATAAAAATAGCTTGTGTATCCCACATAAGATTTATCCACCCAGGATGGATTTAAAAAAAGAGTGATGGTGTTTTACGATGTAAATAATTGGTCCCTGAATCTGATATACAGTATGTGCCTGTCCAAAATTACATAATTGTGGTTGTTAAGTAATTATTTTCATTATGACCCTAAGATATGTCAGAATGACAGACGTTTGGGTTTCTGGATTATGACTGCATTATCTTTGCTTTCTTTTTCTTCTCTGAAGTCTTATCAAGACCTCGTGCCTCTGGGAACCTGGTCTCTTATTACTGTGATGTTTGGACTTTGCTTGGCAGTTGTCGTCGAGAGATGCTCACTGTTACTTATTTTTGGACGCTGTGAATAGATGATGAATTGCAATCTTTCATGGGTTTTCGTGTTATTAACTAAGGACGTTTTGTGAACCAGATGTGTGCAGTACCCACACAACCATCATTCTGTTAATTTTTTAAAAGTAACTTCTTAGTCCGTGGTAGCTGCACGTGCCATCTTAAAATTGGTGGATGAATATAGTTGTTGTGGAAACAATTGCAGCAGTGATGTTTCTTGCTCTGTGTTGAGTATTGTTGTCTGTATGTTCGCTTTGTTTTTCTGCACATGCTCAGTGCTGAAGATCTGTGATGTGGAATGACATCCATACCGCACTGTATTTAATTAAATTAATTATTTTTTTTCTTGCCGGTTGATTTGCACAAGCCTCCCTAAATCGCACTGAAGCACTCCCTACGGCGATTCCGTATCTTCAAAGAATGAAGCTGGACGTACCTCAAGTCTTTGTGCCTGGTATTAATGAGGATCGTGTTCTGGGATACGTTCAATATTTCATTTTTGCGGCCTCTCTCATGAATTGGCAATCGCAGTAATGATAATAAAGTGAAATTTTTGATTTGATCTGAGGCCCTTGCCTGGCTCTCAGCCCATTTTCGGTTCCTTGGGCTGTAAGTATTACCGTGGGTGAGAGTACAGTCTACCCCAATGGAAGGGATTTACCTGATGTTGTTGTCTTGTTTCCCCAGAGCCGCTCAAAGTTTTGGTGAAAAGCAGCACCGTGTGTCATGAACCCTCTTGTCTTTCTTCTTTGTTTCAGCAGGAATACTTCGGCAGCAGCATTAGCGGGAATCTGGATTCGATCGTTTTGAAGTTCTGGCCGAACAGGGACCGGGCACGCAGACGTCACGAGCATGAGCGTGAGAGAGAAGGGGTTGCCGGTGGACCTGGGGGGCAGCTTCACTGAAGATGCCCCGAGGCCGCCTGTCCCGGGGGAGGAGGGCAAGTTGGTGTCCAGCGACGTGCGACTGTACAACCATGGCTTCTACTCGACCTCCAGAGATGGCCTCAAGAACGAGGCATCGACGGCCACCCCCCGGCGGCCCGACCTGGACCTGGGCTACGAACCGGAGGGCAGTGCCTCTCCGACGCCACCCTACCTAAAATGGGCCGAATCCCTTCACTCGCTCCTGGACGACCAGGATGGGATCCACCTCTTCATGACGTTCCTCAAGCAAGAGGAGTGCGCCGACTTGCTGGACTTCTGGTTCGCCTGCAGCGGCTTCCGCAAGCTGGAGGCCAGTGAGGGCAATGAGGAGAAGAAGCTGAAGCTGGCGAAGGCCATCTACAAGAAGTACATCCTAGACAACAATGGTATCGTATCACGACAGATCAAGCCGGCCACCAAGAGCTTCATCAAGGACTGCGTGGCGAAGATGCACATAGACTGCGCCATGTTCGACCAGGCCCAGACCGAAATCCAGACCATGATGGAGGAGAACACGTACCCTCTATTCCTCAAGTCGGACATCTATTTGGAATATACCAGGACAGGTGGCGAGAGCCCCAAGTTATTTAGTGACCAGAGTTCCGTGTCGGGGAATGGGAAGGTTTTGCCGGGATACTTGCCAACACTGAACGAGGATGAGGAGTGGCGTTGTGAGCAAGATCCGGAGGTGGAGTCCCCCTGCGACCAGACCCCTAGTAACCGGCTAACACAGAAGCTTCTGATGGAGACCGCCTCGCAACGGGTGGTTCCCAGCAAGCGGTACCAAGAGCGCCAGGAGTACAGGTAAACCCTTATGGTGGTTTTGGCTTTCACCAAATCCTCCTCCCTTTCAGGGCTGATCTCCCGTACACGAGGTGAATCAGAACCCAGCTTGTTATTTTATTTTATTTTTTCGGCTGCCTCCCAAATGATTTGAGTGCCGAGTGAAGATTTATACTGCAGCAGGATCAAAAGAATTTCTGAGCCGGAGTACAGCCGGCTGCAAGGGATGAGAAGCGTGTGCCGTGTAGGCCGGCGCCTTTCAAGTGGCTGCGGCTTTGCCAGCGCGGCTGTGGCGGGGTTGCTGGAGTCTCATTGCCGGTCTCTGCCAGGTGGGGGCGATGGCTGTTTGTGCCCCCCCCCCCCACACACACACACAAGCACACATTTTGCAGGTACTTTCATGTAAAGCAGGCTTTAAAAATAGAGGAAAGATTTCCTTAGGATGACTTAACACAACTGTTTTAATGAGCTGAAAATGGGGTTTCACTTTGACTCTAAATGACAGTGAGCTGTTCGTCATCAAGGGGATGGTTTAAAAAAAAATTTATTCCTTTTTTTTGTGCAGTGACCGTTCCGGAATGTTCTCAGAATCTGCTTCTCCTCTGCCGACTGATATGACATTATGTGCATTTATTAAATATTAGTGCTAAATAGTGCGAATGGGTGATGTTCTGGATGTAGCTTTCATCCCAGTCGATAGGCTGCTAGTCCCGTCCTTTCATGGATCTTTGGACAGTCAGTATGAACTCCTGGTGAACCTGGAACATAATCCTGGAAGGACAGGGCAAGCAAACTACCTGGACAGGATGCCAGTCTATCTCAGGGCACAAGGCAGGGGACACCCTGGACAGGATGCCAGTCTATAGCAGGGCACAAGGCAGGGGACACCCTGGACAGGATGCCAGTCTATCGTAGGGCACAAGGCAGGGAACGCCCTTGACAGGATGCCGCTTTAGGGTGCAGACACACTAATGGCAATTTAGAGACGTTGTGTATGGTTTTGGACTGCAGGAGAACACTGGAGAACCTCCAGGATTCAAACCCCAAGGCTTTGTGTGGTATGTGGCCAAAGTTCTGCCATGGCTAGTCGGGTTAAATCAATTCCCCTCCCCGGTTCTGCCCCTTATGTTGTGTTTTGACGCTGTGACCCTGATGACTGGCCTGCATCGATCTGCCCTGACTAGGTGAAGACGATGTGTGGTGCCGTCCTCTACTGTTCAGCCAAGGTGTTTGTGACGATCCACAGCGCGACGCGTTAATGCCGCAGCAAGGCCGGCTGACGTTTGACGTCGAGCCTCTTGCTGACAAATCGATCTGTCTGTAGCACGTTGGGATTATCAGAGTTCATTTGCACCATTCTGACTGAAACTTGGTTGCTTTCTTGGTGCTTAAGTGTTCAAAACATCTCAGAGCTTCTAGCAGTACGAGACAGTAATTAACTGCCGGCCTTCTACAGCGCATCTTATGAAATTCTCTCCCTTGCTTTGGCACTTTCATAACAAGGAAAACAAACGGTATAGGAAGCGGCTGTAGCATTAGGTGCCTCCACACTCCTCTGGCTCTGTGTTTCATGGTAAACTCTTCTGCTCTGTTGACAGGCTTCAGGAAGTGTTCCTGGATCCATGCTGTTGTTTTATTCCTCAGGAGCTCAAAAGGGGCATAGTGGGTTTTAAATGGGAGGCTCGTGCTGACAGGCGCAACTGCAGTTACATCACTTTTTGCCTTCAGAATGCTTTCTCTTCCTCCTCCTCCTCATTTAATAGGTATGAGGGGACATCATTGTTAGTCCCAAGAAGCTCTTTCTCAAAGTGCTCTAGCCGCTGTTTTATTTCATTTGCGACGGGCCATGAGATGGCTGATCCATCACTGACTCATCTTGTATAATTCCCTTCATGATGTCATTGAGCAGAAAAATCCCGAATGTCATTTTTGATATGTTACAATTTTATACACTAAAAGTGTACCGCTTTACGATATATTTCTTTCGGATACTTAATCAAGTCCTCTGTTTAGCTAGCCGGCCACCAGTCTTCTTTGGATTTCCTTGGGAAATCCACGGAGTAATTCTTTTCCTCTCCCAGTTGTATCGCTTGACAGAGCTTCCAGATTGAAACAGAAGTAGGCTGCTGGCAAAGGTACCTAAGTCCAGTAAATAACATAACGGTTAAGGATATAGACTAATAATCCTTTCTCTAGGTGGTCGATTTCAAACCTGCACTAATAGCATTTCTACAGCTCTCCCTTAATTAATAGCACAACTGCTAACTTGCTGGGTGCGGATTTGTAATCCGAAGGTTGCTGGTTAAAGTCCCTGGTGTGGCTTGCTGTTCTACTCTTTGAGCAAGGTACTTAACCTGAGCTACTCTGGTAAATGATTAATCTGAACAAACGGGTACTTTTAAATAGCTTTGGATAGAAATGTCAGTTAATCACCTAATCATATACTATCATAATAAGTGGCAGTAATTGTAGTATTCTGGTGGGGTGTGTGCAAGGCTTGGCAGTTGGCAAATTTGTGATAAGCAGAAATGGTAAAAGAAGCGGCTATCCTGTGTCCCATGAGGTACACTGAACTTCTTTGTGACAACATAAGACAGAAATGCCTATGAAACTGGGATAGGCCTGGACTCCTTCAGCTCGCTTGCCTTTGGTTGTCCTCGCAGACGATTACAAAGCTTTGTTACCACATCCTGGAAGCTCCTGCTCACGTTTTTTTTCTTTTTCCTCCCATTTCTTCTGATACATCATCTCCAGTTTCTATATTTATCCCGTGTTTTTGTCTTTGCTGCTACTGGAGAGGAGTGTGCATTTCAGCATCTGGATTAATCGACAGGAAGCTCAAATGCGGCATCTTCGCGACGGGCCCTTCGAGCGCTTGGCGCCGGTGGCCGCTGTTCTGCCAGCCGGCGATCGATCGCCGTGGGCCTCTGTCCCTGAGCGTGACCCAGTTATCGGTATTGGCTGTTTCAGAATCTTGACGTTTGTTGAAGACTCAACCCCCCCCCCCCCNCCCCCCCCCCCCCACAAATATGGAAGAGGATTAAAACGTGGTATTTGGAAATGCGTGCTTTGCCTCTGCTTGAGTCCATGTTTTGTGCCACAATTGGATCGTCCACAGGTTCTGGGTCATTCTACATACCAAAACAGGGTGTGAAACAGTAACAGTTATTTTCGGATAACTTTGTTGTATCCATCAAGCTAATGGAAATAAAAGTTTATGGGGGATAAAACCAAAAGACTGAATTTTGCTACGTGCCGCAAAGTGCCGTTGTGGAAATCTGACGTCTGTCTCGTTTCTTTGCCTCCGGATGCAATCGGGCTGTAATTAGTACAAGCGCTGCGTTATCAGGGTTGTTTTCTGATTATTATTTTATTAGGTGAATTAGTTGGCAGGAATAACAAAAAAGATCTTCATTTTTAAACATGTCTTTAGGTTTGGCCTTTGAGGTTTTTGTGTGGCTAAATTTTACATTAGTCATATGTCGACTTTCCCGTCCGAAAATTTCCGGAAGCCAGGAAATTTCAAATCTGATTGTTCGGATGTTTTGATTAGAGCACATTTGAGTACATGCCTCCGTCTCAAACTAAAACTAAATGCATTCTGTGGTGTAACTGGACATTGGACACTGTACAAGAAAAAAACAGCCTTGCTTCCAGCCCCTATTTAGTTTATTACTGTAATAAATTTAGTTTTATTGCAAGTGGTCGCTTCGATCCCTCTGAAGAGAAAGGCTAGCAATTTTTTTTGCTGGTTTAACTAGACATGTCAGACTTTTTTTTGCTTCTTAAGCAGAATTTTCTTGGTCTAAGAAATGAGTCGCATTGATGTGTATAAAATAAACGTATCTCCCAAGTTTTTCAGTGCCAACATCCCATTTCACTTTTGTTTAGCCTTTAAACGCTCGTCATTGCGAGTGGCAGCTTAGAAGAGGCTCTGACATGTCGTTGAAACCCTTAATAGTTTCAATGAGATGTTTTAATGCTTTCACGTTCTCTGTCACTGACTTAAAAACTTGCGTCATGCTAATGGATTTGGCGTTGGGCTTGCTTAGTGCTTGATGCTAGGCACCAGGCTAAGCTTTCCAGTGCGTTTTTCCTCTCAGGAGAGACACTTATTGTAATTCTGTGGAGAAAAGTGCCGGCTGAACAGCTAAAAGTAAATATTATTGTAAAAAAGGATTGGGCGATACGTTACACATGAGGTCAAACTCAAGGGTATATCTTAATATAAGATATCATAAGACATTTAAGCCTGTATTTCCTTTGGTGTTTTGACAGGGAGATTTCTTCCCCCAGTTAAATTGCAGCACAGAAACGAAATGACCTTTTACAATGATGGCTGTAAAGCAAGATGAGCTTTCTGAGGACAAGGTTTGCATGTCTGTTTCCGAGCCGGATCATGGTTTGCACGTGGACTGCGCAGAATGCTGGGAAGAATAGTGGTGAAAATAGTACACAATTTTCATACTTAAGTAAAAGTATAGACGCCACACCAAAATGTTACTCAAGTAAATCGTCCAGGAAAATACTACTCAAGTAAAAAACACACTCCACGTTCAGATCTATTAATCTTACAAAAAAAACAACCTATCCTTTTAAATTCACTCAAGACGGCTTTAAATTCAATATTGTAAGTTACAATGCAGAACAATAAGTGAAATTGAGTTGCATATTTTCTTTTTATTCCAAAAAAAGCAGTGAAACTTTCTGAGCTTGCTGGCACAGCTTAGCAGGATGAATTTTTTTTCTGCGGGAAACGAAAGACCGATCTACAGGCCAAAATTGATAATTAATCATAAGCACTTCTCTGGCCAGTACTTTCAGATCTCTTAGGCTGTAAATGAGCCGCCTTGAACCCTCCACTACGGAAAACGTCCGATTGTCCAATTAAATCATTACTGTCATTTCAGTAGTAGCTCTAGTACTCATAACTTAGAATATTGATAAAGCTTTAATTGGACGGCAATTTTGGTATGTTAACCAATCTGTTGTGCATCTCTACATATAGTTTATATTAATCT